TCGTCGTCGTCGTCGTAGTCGTCGTCGTCGTCGTCGTCGTCGTAGTCGTCGTCGTCGTCGTCGTCGTCGTCGTCGTCGTCGTCGTCGTCGTGGTGTGTGTGTGTGTGTGTGTGGGGTGGGGGGGGGGTGTGTTTGTAATTCTTGACATAGTTGAGTTTCTAGTTTCAATGCTGTCCAATTAAGGGCTTTACACGCAGTGTGTGAACAAGAGTTGGATTTAACCCAGGTTTTGATTACCAAAGGGTGGGGGTTGCAGCCCACTGTAATGGTTAAATTCCCAAGGGTGTAATAAGGCATGTCATGTACTTTTAACTTGTCATGATAAACACAAGAATGAATTTGACAAATTGAGTTTCCATGCTCTGAATGCAATAGTGTCAAACTATTCTCATTAGAAATAAACAAGTAACCCTTGTGATACGTTTCTGCAACTCTAATGTATTTAGCTCGGTAATACTTAAATTACAATTCTATTATTATTTTTTAAATCACGTTGATTTTGCCTCAATTGCAGGAACAAACTTAATTTTCCAGTTCAGTGTAGTCTCTTTAAGTTATTGCCTTCAAGTTAATGTCTCCATTAAGATTGACATGACGTTTCACTTCAACCCAGTGTCATTGACAATTGCCATAACAATAAATAATTATTAATATATTTGGATTGCAAGCATTGAAATGTCATTAATACAATTGTATCCAATAACAGTAATTCAACAAAATGAATGAATTTAAATGGTATGTAAAAGCTAGATACATATTTATTTGAAAAAGTGTATACCACAAAAAAAACGTTATTTTATAATGTATATATATATATGTTTATATTTAAGCACGTTATTGTAACTTGCACTTTATAAGTATCTTAGATGTACTTTTTATTTTTGTATGATGTTCAATTTGTACACATCTTAATTGTGTTGTTGGAGGGAGCCTGAAATAGATATCCATTGCCTGTACATTCAATGTAATTGTTGTGCATATGATCAAATGTACTTCAAAACCAAAACCATTCCATATATAAAAACATTTAACTTAGGTATGACAGGTATGCACGTTTAAGTTTGAGTAATACAGTAAAATAAATATTTATATAAAGAAATAATGACGTGTCGCTGTCATACAGCTCTGCCTTGTTGATGGTGTAAAATTTGATCCACGTGCTCGCCTCTGTTTACACTGCTGCGTGATGACGTCACACGGAACCCCACCCCTCACGGCGAGCTGCCTGGCAACATGAGAGAGAGAGCAGGAAGGTCTGCAGCCGTTAAGTGAACAACCTGCTCACTCTGGACTCAAAAACTACCAGAAACCACTCCCAGCGGTACAATGGAGGATGCAGAGACAGGTAATGCATTTGCTAAAATATCTCTCAGTATCACTATGTTGTCATCTGAAAAAGGTTTCGGTAAACTTTTGTCTTATATGAAAGTTAGCAACTAGCTAACTTTGCGCAGTTACAGTTGGTGCGCTGAGAACATATGCTACTGTTCACTTCAAACTCAAATACAAATGCATTTCCGTGACAATGTTTGGACTTATTGAAGAAAAATAAATATGTTTTATCAATAGAATGACAACGGTAACCAGGGATATCACGGAAGTAGAATATTACACAGCATTTGTTTAGGTTACTTCAGTGAAATAAACGAAGAAGTTGTTATTTCCATTAAGGTAAATACTTTTTGGGCCTACTTTTATATACCCTAAATGTTGAATTGGGCGTAGTTTTGATATAATCAAAAGTGTTCGGTTGAAGATTGTTCTTAGAGTTGATAACACATGTACGATCTTAAACTTTGACAAGTAGGTTACACCCATTTGAAAGATTACTACATATGATCTAAATCTCCCCACCTTGGTTATACCTGTTCATGTCAAGCCAAACTGTCTAGAATTTCGAACTTTTTTGAAAAAAGCAATGATTGCATAAAGTTGTTTGAAAGTAGCATATTCCCGTCAGTCAATGTTGGAAGGCTGTGAGGCTTGTTAGGGAGGTCAAACAGGCCTAAGCACACGTGGGACTGCCAAGCATTTTTAATTAAAAAAATAAAAGATGAGGGGAGTGCATGATTCACAGATATGCTGTGACTGCATTGGAGCATTCCTGCGTCCTTTCCTCTCCAACACCTACTGGGACATTTCCAACCCTGCTAAGCAGCCATCTGCTTTGTTATACCTTGGCACAAAACTGAACCATCCTCCAGGTTTGTCTACTTGCATATGATACACTGTAGTTCAAGAAATTAGACATTTTCAACAAATAGAGCTTTGGTAGGATTCAGTTAATTTGATCATAATCCCTCTTCTCCTGTACTTCCTTTGCTCATACCATGACCTTGTAGTTATTGTGGAAAGAGAGGAGGGACAGAGATCTATTTGTTCATCCCAAGGGGGTGCCAGCTAAACAAGGCATAGCCTCGACCTCATTTCCCTTCAGCAGAAACATTCTTCAACCCCCTGGAGAAATTTAATTTCCTGATGTCTGCATGCTGTATTTCGTCTTTTTTTCTTTACCCCAAGGTGAAGAATATTGAAAGCACCAAGGGAAGGCTCAGCATATTTGAGATATTGACGGATATTACCTTCTACTGGCTGATGATGAGGTGCTTTTTAATATCAGACTTAATCAGATGTGTTAGTCTCTGTGCGTGAGCTAGTGGTGACCATAGTAACAGACATACTTTACCATTTCCCTGAAGTAGCTCGTAATGTTTTTTATTTGGTTTAGAGAGGTGTTTCCATCCATGTATTTTTTTTATAAAATAGTTTCTGAGTCAGTTCAGGATAAGGAGTACTTGTTTGGCTGCTTGTCTTGTGACCATGGTTCCTCTTTGTTAGTGTATGTTTCCTCTGCTCTTCCTATGCGTGCAAAGTTTCCCCTCAACACATTACATTATTTTCCACCGTGTGTGTGTGCATCTTTTCTTTTTGTTTCTCTTAAAGTTGGCATATGTGGCAGTTTTGGCTGTCTTTTATGCAGCAGAAGTACACTTTCCTCCTTCCTTTTTGTCATTGTATTCCTTTTCAATATAATCATAGGAACTGATTAAGTTCTGCTTTTTATAGTCCCACTCTCATGGCAACAGGAGCAGGAGGTGAAGTTCACTGTATTGTAACACATGTATGCAGGTCTCTATGGTAGCTGGCCTGGCAACATCTGCACCTGCGTCCTTGTTAATGTTTTTCCTTGAAATTGTCACCTTAGAGAAATTCAACCTGCTCAGTTACCTGTAAAAAAAGCTACTTGAATGCATTACAGATCTTGTTTTTCTATCTGTTTTTGTTAATTCAGTGTATTACAAACGGTCTTAAGGGGTTCTTCTCCCAAACATTTGTCAGTATGTCAAGTGGCACATAACAACAGCTGATTGGCTGATGGTTTAGGAAGAAAGGAGGTCATTGTGGATACTGAGTTTGTCTGACTCGCTCTGTCATGCGTCTGCTCTCCTCTGACGGTGTCCCCTCTTTCTTTTCCCTGCAATTGAATGGATGTTCTAGTCGTAACTTCAGATCGTATAGTTCCTTTTTTTAGATTCTGTTGGAATTTCTCTGCTTAAGTTGTAGCTGTGTAGCACAGTTGAATTTGAGATTGTCTTAAGGAATAGCGTATTTGCCATGGGATATTTTTTCGGTACCGGCATTGATTTTTTTTGTCATTGGTGATGTCTGTATAATTACTGCATTTTTTTCTTATACAGAATACCTTATACCTTTTTATATATCAACTACTGTATGTTCATTCTGAGGACTTTATGCTAGACGTTCTTGAAATTCCCGTCAAGTTTTTATTCCCTTAAATCTCACCAGAATATCTCACGCTATACTATTTTCTAGCTTGTCAAGAAAGTCATGATCTGTAGGATCCTGGCTGTAGCATGTATCTGGCATTTCCTGGCTCATTGATAGAAGCATTTGCTCCTTTCTCAAATGAGATGTCCAAAAGGCAGACAGTCAGGCTTACCAATCCATCTTGTTTTTCAAAATTAGTAGTCTTATGAGATTGATCATGTGCAGTGGCCAACATTTTTGCCTTATTAGATTTCAGTAAGGCACACCTGGATGCTTTCAGTTGTGAGGAAGTCTGTGTCACGGATAATATTCCTCCAACCATGTCGGCCTACAGCTGACTTGTTTGTGTTAGCGATGCGTTTCGCTAAAAGAAAATCATATTTTCCTAGATATCTTGAGAATTTGGTCAAAATACTGACCAAAAATCAAGTTAGTCAAATGGATGTTTATCCTCTGTCCTGTTTTTAGATATTTTTTAAACATTCTGAAAAGTGCTTTTGCAATTTTTTACATGATGGAACATGTTGAAACATCATAGCTGTAATACAATAATGTTCATTAAATAAATACTGTTCATGTCAGCATTATAGATCAAAGACAACTCGGCAGCTATCTTTATTTTGTATTTGTTCCATTGTGAGCCATCATTGAACTAAAACACACTACTCAGCTCTTAGCTTAACCAGAAAAGCTACAGTTTGTCAGCAGATCTTAACATTTCCTCTCAAAGATTAAAGGGAAATCCCCATGTCTGTTTAAAAACTTTGATCTTTGAGATGATAGTTCTTTGAATGAAAGTTGAGCTGAATGTGGTGTATGATTAAAATGTTCCCTGCCTATGTTCTATGAGCTATTTATAACCGCCCTTTAAAACGTCAGCACTATGCCTAGCTTACTACGGAGAGAGTGATGAACATCACAGCTATTGCAAGACAAGTTGAGGCAAAGATAACTCTTTATAACCAGTGGGCTACACATCATATTTGTGTTAATCGTTTCATGCAATAAAATGCAGTCTTAAATAGTATTTGTTACATAACTTGAAGAGAAAACTATAGTAATGGTTCACTCATATAATGCAGTAGCCATTACATTCCTTATCATTTCACTTCTTTTTTATGGAGAATGTTTCATTAACCTGTGAGATTTGGCCGAGCAGAGGTCTCACCTGTCTGCTAGCTCTGGCATCAGACGCTGTATCTTCCAACATGACACTGTAGAGAGAAACTTTGGCCCTCACTGTCAAATGGAGCACAGTGGGTGTAGATTATACATTAACAACTATATACCTTAACAGAAGATTTCATTTGGTCCCATTTTTAAAACATTTTTCCATTCAGTGAGGACGTGACATTTTTAAACAAGACTTAAAAATACAAATCTCTGTAATGTTGTCTGTAAACCACCACAGTTTCCAGGGCTTCTGTTCTGCTTTTACTTCTTAACTCGGTTGTTTTTAAGGGAATATTTTTAGAAACAAGGCAGTTGAAATCTCTAATCTAAGTAAAGCATAATTGGGTAGAATCTACCTTTTTTTTAATAGCTTTTGAAAGTGCCCTGGCCTGAACATGATTAAGGGACTATGCACATGGTATAAGAATAAGGCTTATACCAAGTTTTTTCTTAAATATGTTGGATTTCAATATGTCAGATCTTGTTTTAAGAATGATCCTGACTTACGGCCCCTACATACGGCGGCGTGCGTTGACGCTTCAACGCTTCTGCCCATTCACTTTGAATGGGGTGACGTCACGCTTCGCCGAACTGCATTGTGGGAGCAAAGGGTAGCTTTGCTCGCGTAGCCCCTCGTTTTTAGCAAAACTTTAACATTTTTAGAGATACTGTAAGCTTGCTAACTTTCTTTCCAAGATTTATAAGAGGAGAGTCAATATGAAGTTAGAGCTAGCAGCCGGCTAGCTTAGCTTAGCTTGTTGACGTAGTGCCAGTGTTAAACCATCTTCCATTTACTGTACAGGTCAGTGTCTGTGTTCCCTCTGTGGTGTAGCTACTCTTTCTCCCCCCTTAATGTTTTTTCCCATGATACACATGTCATGTGAACTTTATGGGCTCTCTCCCTGGATCCTTAGTCAGTCATGTCTCATGATTCTTGTTTTAGGCCAATCATGTGACAGTGTATGCCATGAATAATGAGGTAATGGATCTCATGCGGTGCTTCATTAACCAATTGAAAATGGCTGTTTGTGCCTGGTTACAGTCCGTGTGGATGGGTACCCATGTGTTGTTTTTCATGCTATTTTCTTATTTGGTTTATAAATCAAATATATTAAATCATCCGTTCCAAGAACTTGCTAAAGTTGGATCTAACTTCAAAAATTGTTTTAAAGCAAATCACATGAGTCCAGTGTAAGCACTGTTAAGCAGGGCTGAAGTTTGGAATTAATGTTAAGTATTGATCAAGTATTTATTGAGATATAAAACATGTATTTACAATTAAAAACATTGTTTGGAAAAACACAAAAAAAGCCATTACAAATAAATAAAAACTAGCACCAATCCTGATTGATTACCTTGAGCGTATGGAAATTATAATAAAGCTTAATTTATAAAAATGATAGATATTACACGCAAAAAAAACAAATGTTGCTGCTGTTATATCTTCTTTCTGAATATTGCATGTTTAAGATGTGTAAAACATATTTTGTTGTGAAAAGAGGGCCTATGGGTTAGGGTGCTCTCTTGGTTTTGTTGTACATGTCCGTGTGAGACCATCTGAGAAACAAGAAGAAAGGAACGATGCTGGGGAATATTCACGGTCCTTGGTGCGGGCCTATAGTGCATGCATGCATGTTGATACTTGATCGTTTGCTTTGAGAGACTGTATGTGTGTCACTTCCTGGACTGACCTTGCTGAATGGACGCAATGAAGCCTGACTCTGCAGATCAGGGCACAGCACAGTTACATTAGTTAGCCTTGCATGACCCAAATGATCTGGAAAGTACAGAAAAGACATACATTTTTTTGATTAAATCATGCTTTCTACTAGAAACTTCACACAGCTTCACTATACTATCACCCTCAGGGTACTGTTGTCCTCAGAATGTCTTTATCTCCCTCCTAACCTCAAGCTGCAATACAGTCTTGATAACATCTACATCCTTTGTCATAAAGTTGGTGCTGGAATGCCACCAGGCTGCTTTTCCACTCCTCTGCAGCCTTTAGGGTACTAGCAGGTGTGCATACAATTGCTGGCTTTTGACACTCCCTGAATGTCTTTAAATGCAACGAGAGATGACCTATTTGTGCACATTTCTTATCTTCGTGCAGCATGAATTCTTTCACAGCTATCTCTCCTTTAGACACATATAAGTATGACATGGCACTCTCCGATTTTGCATGGGGGAAAATGTGATTTACTGTATTATGTGGTTTGCTGGTTATAACCTGTGTTGTTTGAGTAAGAAATAATGGCAGTTAAATTATAATAGAGGTTGATTGAATAGAGTTGGTTTAACAATTAGTGAAATAATTATGAGCTACAGTATTTTTACAGCTAGTTTTTTTTAATAAAAATCATAGTTGCTGACCTGATATTTACACACATATAAAGCCACATATACATGTTCTCTTTAGTCCACATAGAGCACTTTTCCTCAAGTAGCGTACACACAATACCAAGTGTAGCCTCTGGCATGCTCTCCCCTCCATTAGCACTGACTAGCATTACTGCTGCTCCAAACCGGACCGGCCACCCCGGATTAGCGCTTTGCCGTAATCTGGGACACTGCAGATTACGCTTTTCATCTAATGCCCTCCACACACCATGTGACCAGCCCACACAAATGGGACCTCTTGTATTCCCTCCTTGGATGACAGGCTTGTTGACAGAAAGTGAGTGAGGGAGGGAATCGACAGAGAGACCTGAGAGTTATTGAAACCCGGAGTGTAACGCAATATCTCACAGTGGCTAACATCTGAAAACGACGCTGATTGTGCAAAAGGATTTTTGAAGGATGGATTGAGCATTGACCTTTGGGATTACGGAACAGAGGCAGGGTGTGTGTGGAGAGAGTGTGTGTGTTTAACAGCTGCTTGAAGACACAGGTAACTTATTAACAGCAAGAAAGGAGCAGGGAGTTCACTACGCCTCGGCCTGCTGCAGAATGGAAATCCAGCTTCGCTGTGCTCTCACCACCTGAAAGCCAATAAAAACGTTTTCACACACTTGGATATTGCGTTCCCTCACACACACCACAAGAGTGCAGGACGCTGTAGAAAGGGAGTGAGCACGCGCTGGGATCACATGCAGACAATCAGCACTCTGCTGGCTGTGCTGTGGTGGGGGTGGCGGTAGGGAGGTGGAAGTCACTCCGACCAACAAACACTCCAGGCTGTAAACATGGAGCCCTTGGAGGAGTACCACTCGCCCTTTGACTTTGAACAAGGAGTGAACGCCAACTACCTGTACCTCTCGCCGGCCTACAGCGACACGCCGCCCAGCTCGCCAGCTGTCAGGACCAGAGGTAATCACAAGGAGATGGAGAGGCCGGCGGGCGGAGGATGTGAGGACTTTATATGTGTGTGTTTGTGTGTGTGTGCTGGACAAACACTGGTTTGGTTAATTGGTTGCGAAGCATTTTGGGGAACAGAAAAGCTGTGTGTGTGATATTTTTGGTTTCTTCCAATTACCGTTTATCTCGTTTAGTTTTAAGACTTCCAGACTGTTTTATTATAAAATATTTGAACTTATTTCTATTTGTTGTTGTTGTATGGATCTGATTATTTCATTACACCACTCTTCTAATGCACCAAGACTGTCTCAACACCTTGTACTGTTTCTTTCATTTGATTTAAAAATGACTTATTATTGTTTGTGAAACCTAGAAATGTAATGTCATTACAGTTCATCAGAAACATCTTTATAACAAATAGGATGTGTCATTTAGTTTGAAGTGTCTTTGCCGACTCAATCAGTCAAATAGATGTTTTTGTCTTTGTAATTGAGTATGGAGGAAATCGGATCATGTTTATATTTTTGATTTGACTTTCTTAACTCAATCTATTCATACTTTATTTGAATTGTAGACTGTATTATAGACCACTTTAATGAACAGAAATACAGCATGGAAGAACATTCTACATTTCTTAAAGCTGCTTATTAGTGTCAAAAGTCACAATTATAAACTACTAATTATGAACAGACCCAAGAGCTTATAACTTGCATGTGCTGACAGTTTGTCAAATCTTTCGTTCAGACAGCTTTAAAGCTTTAAGTTGATTCCTCATTAGTTGTTACCCTCTTCCTCTCATCGTGTGTCTGCTTTGATCTCAAACTCTCTGCGCTAACTGATGGACCCACACCTACACGGCGCACATTTGCTGATCAGCTACCTCCACACTCGCACATACAGATCTTGCATTGCTGCCTGAAGAAATATATTTCAACATTGTAAATTGGAGGTATTCAGAAAGGTGTACGCCGATAAAACCTGTTTGTTTTTTTAAGTAAAAGAGGACAGAGGGAAAGTGAATGACATAATTCATTCACTGTAGTGTGCGTCTGTTCATTAGGTGTGTGTGTGTAAAGCCTCTGCTGTATCATCAGTGATGGGAGATGAGGGCTTGAGGGCAGATGATGTGTGATGCTTCAGAGGAACAGCGGGGGGTGGGTTGGGGGTTGTCATCCCTCTGTTAATTAAACAGTAATGCCCATCTCTATTTCCTCTGTAAACGATTTACTGATTTGTAGTAGTCAGGTCCCATGCATGTTTTAACTGGTAAATGTTTTCAGACATATTTAATCATCACTTCGTATTCCCACGGTATTAATTAATGTTAGAGCGAGTCATGGCACAGCCCAGTCCTAAGATCCTGTTCGCTGTGAGGAAATGTCTCTGTGGGAATATCATTTAGCTTCTGGTATTTCTATCTCAGTTATAATATGTAAGAACTGGGTGTTTAGAGGAGTGATATGAAATAGAGAAAGGGTGTTTCCTATGAGGAGTGAGATGGAGGATTGGAGGAGATTATATAGGGTTTTGTCAAGCGGGGAAACTGCTGTTTATCTTATACGTCTCCTTGTATGAAGATGTTGTTACCTTAACCCATTTCCACTCGTATTGCTAACCTTTGCTAACCATCGGCTGGATGGTAGCCTAACATATTTTACTGACATACACGAGTGTTATCAATCTTCTTTCTAACTCTTGGCAAGAAAGTGAACAAGCATACAGCTAATTACAGAAAATGATGATCAACCAGCTCAAATGAACAGACAAATGCAGAAAAATATGTTTTTGTAGGCAAATGAAACAATGTTATTTAGCGCCCTACGGTATTCAAAGGAACAACCCAAATGTTCTTGCTAGTATCATGTTACTTGTGGTTTCAAAAGTTAAATTAGATTTACAAGGTCAAGGGTTTAATGAAATGTACTTTCAAGTCTATTTTGCTCGTACATCAGGCTGTACTGCATCTGGTAATAGCACAGTAGAGTCCTAGTTCTTTTCTCTAGCAGTTCCTTTTTTCTAATTCCCCCCACAATGATTTATTCAACTCCAGGGTTTCCCCTTTATTTATACACTTTCCTATTTCTGACTTTATTTCTACATTTGTACTTTAACGGTGAATATATAAAATGATAAAGAAAGAGCAGATAAGAAGAAATGGACTCCAGAGGCATGTTTGTGTATTCCCCGCTCATCTCTGACCCATTATATCCTCACCTGCTCTCTCCCGCTGTCTGAGCCCAGGATGGCTCCATCTAGAAAAGTCTTTGTATTATTGATGCAGCAAAGCGGCTCCTACTGGGCATCAAGGATGAGTGTTCACTGTATACTGTATGTGTGAGGAGTGAACACATGACTGTGTGAGAGGGAGGAGGTGTGGCTGTACGGTAGAAATGAAACCTGTTCCCTCTTTGATACCACCCATCATCAAACAGCAACTTTAGCATCCTTTACTTTCCTTAAGCTTATTTCCTCGTCCTCGTCCTCCAGGGGAACAGCATGTCAGCTGGGCAGGGTTTGACAACCAACATCAGCCCCCCCCCTCCCTCTCACACCCCCACCACCTGTTCGCTGTCATGCTGCCAACATGGGCACACATGTCTTCTTAAATAAAGACGAGACTCCACAAAGGCTCTACAGCTTCAAAGCAGACATGACTCGCCAGAGAGAGTAATACGGATGGATCTAATATTTTCTTATTTGACCTCCCAGGTTCCCAGCTACATCCAGTCTCAGTCCCTGAGGTGGGAGAAGATGCAGTGAAGTCTGTCGGCCCCTCTCCCCCTCCCCCAGGCATGACAGAAGAGGAGCAGCAGGAGCTACAAGAAGAGTTGGTCAAGGTCAGGAGGGATCAGGGATTACAGAAGTCTTGGTTCATGGAATCAAAATCAGGTGTTGGACCCGATCCAGATAGTGGAGAGGACTTTTAAAAGCAGGCTCCATTCTGTTCACCACAGCTTTCCATAACAACAAGATGCTTATTTCAGTCCCCTGGAGCGGCTCAAACCACTTACCTTGCTTCAGATGATTGATGTGTAATTCCCATGGCAGCCAATGTTTCCAGCAGCTCTTTTGTAATGGTGGCATCTTGTTTGCTGTGATTCAACAGGAAGGATAAAATGGAGTATATAAGTTAAACTCTCTTAAATCAAAGAACCTGAGCTGTATGTGCCTTTTTTTTTTTTAACGAGCTGCCACATTTTGAGCAGCTTCAACTTACTGGGAAACAAACTAACTTGATGCTTCCTGACCAATCAATCAATTATTTGATCCATGAAATGTCAGAAAAAAAACAAATCCCAGTAACCAAGTTGACATCTTACATGTTTTATTAGAAGAACAGTCCAAATCAAATAATCTACAATTTTAAACATGAAAAAGCAGAACATTTACAAATTGAGGAAGCTGAATTCATATAAATCTTGTTTTAATTTTAATTGTGTATCCAAATAGTTACTTATTTATCTGAACATATTGTCTCTATTTGGAAATAAACAGTTGATAATATTTAACCTTCACTCTTTATTTGGTTAAACGAATATAGACAAGGTTAAAGATACTGTGTACATCTAAACTTAAAAAAAGTATATGTTAATGTCTCCGTCTGTGCGTGTGTGTGCAGGTTGAGGATGAGATCCAGACTCTGTCCCAGGTGCTGGCAGCTAAGGAGAAGCAGCTGGCGGACATTAAGAGGCAGCTGGGCATCACACCTCTCAACGAGCTGAAACAGAACTTCACCAAAACCTGGCAGGATGTCACCACCTCCATCGCGTGAGTGCCCGCCCACCACAGCATGCTGCCGTCTGACCTTACAGCACACTATATTTCACTAGATACATTTCCCATGGTACCAAGCTCTTCCCTTTGGTAGTAGCTTGTCCTCTGACCTCATGACACACAGCTCGATTATACAGCATTTCTTCAACATATACATCTTCTTTGATCATGTTTTATTCATTTCCGCACTGAGTGCCTTGAATACATGGTTTTAATCCGTCAGCGCTGTTGAGAGGAGGCTCTTTCTCCTCTGAACAACAATAACAAAAAGGATGTCAGTGCCTTTGACAAGCTGCCTGTAGCACATGTGAAACCGTTTGATGGGTTTCAAATGAGAGGAAACGGGGAGCATTGTTAAATGGAGGTTGAGGTTTAGTTCACATCTTGACGCTTCTTTTCAGTCTTTGATCTCTGTGTCTCTTCTAATCACTTTCATATCTTCTCGTTTTGCTTCCCATTCTCTCCTCTCTCTCAGCTATAAGAGGACCTCTGAAACTCTGTCCCAGGCGGGTCTGAAGGCCACGGCGGCGTTCTCCAACATGGGCTCAGCCATCACCCGGAAGCTGGAGGATGTCAGGTGAGTCAGACGGGAGACTTCAGTGGGAATATAAAAGGGAATAAAATGTTTAAAGCACCGTTTCTCTGAGGGACAGCAGTATCTTTGATGAATCGCCCCTCAAAGTGCTGGTTAGATGGAATGTTAGAATCAGCCTTAAGATACTAATGTCTTCTTTAGTTTTTATTTCCTATAGTCCAGCGCTTCCCAACCTGTGCATTGCAAGTGGGCCGCCAAATAATTTGCAAAACATTATGATTCGTGTGGAAACATTTCATTATTAAGATTTTTTTGTATCCTTTCTCTTTCTTGATCCTCCTTAGCAACGGTCATTACAGTCTTTGACAGCGGTCTGTTCTACTGGATTAACAACTTGTCACGTGTTCTGAATTGACCAATCAGAACTTTATTCAGCCTCCGTATTGTTTATGGTTGAATGTGGGCTGCCAACATTTTTTTTATTTCTTAAATTGGCCCTGAGTTGAAAAAGGTTGGGAACCGCTGTAGTCCAATTCGTTTCCACATTTTTTCAGCATGTCATCAACCAAATTCTACCGACTAGCCTGAAATAGTCATATCTACGCATAAATGTAGAGGTTATTAGGTGTGTTTGTGCATACAGTAAATAGCCAATGTATGGGGATAGATTAAATAGATACACTTTCTGTCCTTAAATCCTACTTTCAAACTACCTTCTTCAATATCTACCAATAAACATGATATTTTCTGGTAAAACAAGGCTTAAAAAAAACAGCAACAGATTGCTCCATTGGAGATAGAGCTCCAGATATAGCCTTCACCCCCCAATCCTAATCCGTTTTCTCCCCTGTCATCCTCCTTCTCTGGGGATTACTGAGCTGCAAAAATAAGATTGTTAGCCCCTCAAAGCAGCAGTGTGCGGAGAAATGCAGCCTCACGGATGACCGTTTTGGGGGGTGGGGTAGTGAGGATCGACCTGACAGGGGTCAAAGAGGGGGGATGTGTGAGTGTGTAAGGGAGAGAGAGTGTGTGTGTGTGTGTGTGTGTGTGTGTGTGTGTGTGTGTGTGTGTGTGTGTGTGTGTGTGTGTGTGTGTGTGGACAAGATATCCCCCCGTAATACGCAGGATTAGCACACACCCACTGTGTTAATACACAATCAATCTTAATGGGATAAAGCAGGATTTGTAGGATTAATGCACTTAGAATACTCACTGATTGAACATATAGAAGATGAATGTTCTGTATGTTGTGTTTGAACATGCAAGCCTGTCTTTCTCTCATTGTGTACTATTTTTAAAATGACCACTAACGCCCCCTTTCTTCTCCATTACGCTGTCGGATAGTATGCGCTCATTGCAACACTCAGCTAGTATGCCTGTCATGAGGTAAGAGGAAGTTTGTGTTGATGTGACAGGCACACAGTGGAGCCCTCTGAACTATAACTGTTGAATTAAATATGATCCAGGAAAAGGCTGCACTGTGTGTTTTTGCAGGACTACAGGAAATAGACTCTTGTTTGGCTTTGGATCAGTATTTCCATTTTATAAAAAGGTCCTAAGTATGTGAGTTGAGTTTGTCAAAGACGACCAATGCTAATATCTACCATGAGCTATCCAGCTGCAGCTTTTATAATCTTAGCTAGACAGACCTCTCTTTCGTCCATTTGACAGCAGCCTTGCAAAAATATGGAGATAAAAGGTATCTTTGAAACCCAAGGCAGCATCCGTTAGCTGCTTGTTTAGACATCCACATTCAGGAAGACGCTCGGTCCAGTGTTGAACTCATTCCAGATATGAGTGAATTTGATGAAGTGTAGGTCTAAATGTGTCAGATTAGAGTGTACATCTTTTTCATATTCAATTAATTTACGGATTATTACCTGAGCAATTGATTAAATAATTAATTGTTAAGTCTATAAAATGTATTTCAAACTATTTAAGGGGTGTCTTCAAATTGTTTGTTTTGTCTGACCAACACATACATTTAGTTTTCTGTCAAAGAAGACTAAACATGTTCATATTTGAGAGGTTATAAAAACTGAACCTACTCAGTTATCCATATAGTAGCTGATTGACTATTGATAGGCTAATGTATAATTCATTTCAGCACTATGCGAGATAAAAAACAAAGTAATGCAATCATGCAAACAATTCTGACCTCAAAAATATCACAGAACATTAGCATCCATCATGTTTCTGCAGCTCTCCCTCTAAGGTCTGCCTAGATTTATTAAAGTTGTATGAAACAACATTTCAAATGCTACAAATCGATATTTATGTTGACTGTTCCCATCGTGTTCATTCTTTACTCTCATGGTTGTGTTTTCATGGAAATCAACACCTCTTGGCATCTTTCTGTAGAAATGGGTCACTTTAAAATCCTACATTGTCTGTGTTGAGTATCAGATGACATGACCTCTAAAGGTGTGTTATCCTGCTCCTTCTTCCTTCTGAAGAGGTGACTTGTTCATATTTTGCTGAAATTGTATTGAGTATATAAGCATGTCAGATGTATTCAAATACTGTAGGTTGGTCTGTGATTTTGTGGTTTTTTGTCTTTTATTTGACAGGAATGCAGCACCAACCTTCAAGTCCTTTGAGGAGAAAGTGGAGACTTTGAAGGTAACATTTTCTTTTGTTCAGACACGCCTTACAAAACCTTGGCAGCTGAACTAATGACTATAAGGACTTATAGTATTTAACGGGAATGTAAACAGGACATTTCACTCATTTAGTTTCATTATATTTGTGTGTTGCCTTTTAGCAGCTTAATGAAGTCTTATAGACATGGTCAGATACTTTGTATGTTAACTGAAAACATAACCATTTCAATTAGTATGTAGTCAATCTATGAATAGCTTTATCTAATAATCCCAAAGTGGAATCCAGCAAACTGAAACACTTATACAGCTATGTTTAGCTAGCGTTAGCCACTTTAAGCTACTGTTTTACACTCCCAAATGACGCTGTGGCAGCAGAATACCTCAATCCTTTTAAACTACATGATTGTAAAAGGATTATGTTATTATTTTTATTTAAATCGATGTATTTAAATCTTAGCCCCCAGATAAGGCTACTTAGTGAACCTTGTGTTTTAAAGAATTTAATTTGTTTGTGTGTATGTATTACTTTGAGTTACTGAATAATTCTTCCTTGTCTTTCCTCCTCCCTCTTCCTCAGACTACGATCAGTCCCCCAGCCTCCTCCAGTAGCCAAGGCGAGCAGGCGGGCCCCTCCAATGAGACTTTGACCGGTGTGCCTGAAGGCTCGCCCCCCCAGGAGACTCCAATGAACTGAGACCTGCCTGACCTCCCAGCCGCCCCTCCTCACTTGACCCCATCACCCCTGGACCGCCAACACTCGCCCCCTAAACTCTTTGTGTGCCAGTCTCCCTTTTTATTGGAAACAAGTGACTTAACACAGCCTGTGATCTAATTGTCTGGTCTCTTTGTTTGACACGTGCGCTCTCTTGTTATCTTGTGTGGAAACTGAAAGCATGGGATGGGTGCAGGCATGGGGTCTCGTGTCGACCAGACGTATTTGAGTCTACTCTGGCTCGCTGTGGGAGAAATACTCCCTGCTGTAGGACTTCTCCTTTTCTCCCTATTTATCTGCCTTTGTCTTACCAGCAACACTCAGATGCCAAACATGTTTGTTTTTCTTTGTCAAATTAACACTGTTTAACATGTTTTTGAGTGTAACAAAAAAAAAAATATATAGAAATATTACAAAATTGACAAGAGAAAGATTTATACCAAAAAATACATTATTATAAGCACTTGTTTTGTCTAACTCCATTTTGTGGCTGTTTTTGGTTTACCATTTTGGGGCCTGGATCATTTCCGTTTTCTTTGTTAAACTTAGGACAACGCACAATCCTAAATTAGTCTAACACTAGTGTCATATATGTACCTTTTGTATACTTTACCCCACAGTACTGAGCCAACAATACTGTGTGTCACGACTGCAGCCACCAACTACAAAGCTGGTATTTCAAAACACACTTCAGAATAAAAACCTTTCCTTTTTCCATTGTTAAGAGTCTGTCAGAAAATGGGCTCCACGCTCATATAGTTACAGGAAAACAGCCAAGATCAGTAAAACAGCAGCAGAGCCAACACAGTCGAGATTCAGCCTTGACCCGAGGTGAGTGAAATAAATGTGTCTCTTCCAGAGCCAGAGTCAATATTTAAACACTAGTCCATTGTTTCTGCCTGGGAGGCAACACCTAGTCTCTCCCCTTTCTGTCGATAAGCAAGGCAGAGACTCCTGTGGCAGTTTTATTGTTTACTTTTATAGAAGTATTGAACTAAATTTCCCTTAGTGTTCAAGTTTGACATTGTTATTTTAGCCATGGTAGCAGAATGGCTCTATAAATGGTAGCAGGCTGTTTGGTTAGTCCAACACTGAAATATCTTAATGATTGGAGGAATGTCATCAAATATTTTACTAAGTCATTAATTCCCTTTTGGGGATCCCTTAACTTTTAGTTCTTGCACAATCACTGTCTTAATTTCTCCAATCCTTTGGTTCATGACAATTCATTGTATGCAAATTAGCAAGCTAACGTTGCTATTTAGCCAACCTGACCTGCTAGCATGGCTGAAATCTTGTTAAAAAATTATTTTGAGACAAATGTTCAAATTCTGCTTTTGTTTCAGAGTCTGGGAAAAATATACAGTAGTACAGGATTAAAAACAGTATTTTTTGAAAATGCTGCTTTCAAACAGACCAAAAACCTTTTCTAATTGTTTCAATATGGTTATATCAGCAGTGGCCTTAATCACATAACACTTTTCTTGAGTTGGCTTTAAATCTCATGTTGCTTTAGAATGATTAAATATTATAATCTATTTCACTAAATAGTTACACTCAAAATATATTTTTAATATGCACAAGGCTTTTGATGAAGGTAAAATAAAACTTGAAAGGCAAACAGAGCTGGTCTGAACACAGCCGAGGTTTCCTCTGATATACAGATGGAGGACACTAACACTTCTCCTGTTACGATGGGCAGGACCAGCATGGTACAAATCTTCCCCTGCTGGTGTTCAATCGCAAAACATGAATGTGAATCAACTCTTCCATTTAATCATTAGTGTAGCAGTTGGCATAAGAAACTAGATCAGTGTCCCAGGAAAATGCCAAATACGGGCTTTCTGCTGTTAAGATCTTGTTTTCGCCAACCATCACAAAAATGTGTTTGCTATTCTGAGTTGACAGTGTATGGATTTTTAACAGTACAGTATCTCCTGTCCTCATGTAACATCACTTTCTAGCCATGACCTGGTTCCCTGAGAGATTTAGTTACACAGCCTTTTATCTCAGGCATGAGGGTTTTATTTGCATTTAGTCATGCAAACAGTGACACACACGATTTGTTTGTTCTTTAATTGGAACCATGGAGTGAAAACATGCACTTTAATGAAAAATACCTCTGAAGAAACCTTGTTCTGAGTCTTTGTAACAATAAAGGTGAAATGGGGATTTATTTACATGCATGGGAAGTTTCTCAAATGCAACATGCCACTGCTTTTTGAAGGATGTGACATTCTTTTTAACAAATCAGTGTGTCTATCAGGAAACACATCAGAATTAATTCACAGAAGGTCCAAACATGTGACTGTATGCCTCTGAGGACAAAACAAACCTCTACAGCTGCAGAGCCACATTTGAACACAAGAGGGCAGCCAAGAATAAAGACAACCTCAGATGCCTTTATCTTTCTCCATCCAAAACCAAACCAGATTGACTCCCTGCTGCTGTACTGACTCAGTCATAATAACTGCTCAATATTATATTTAGTAGATATTTGATAAACTTCACCTTTGGTTGTTGCTCAATAAGTCATTAACGCGTTAATGAAGAAACATTCAGGGGTTTTAACGACTTATATTAGCGTATTGTAAAAGAAAAGTGAGTAGGGAAAATTTCTTATTTAGAGTGGCTTAAAAAAAAGTAAATTACTGGTTGTCCAGACCAGTGGGTTGCTGAAGTATTTCCTTATTCAACAAGTAATATATAATCTGTCAAGTAAACAATTATAAAATACCTCATATCCTGGTTATGGAGGCAGGTGGACCCACATGCATAGGCAACAGGAAGGAAGAAGGAAAATAATAATGTATACTACACTCAGATGAAGGCAAAATAGTTACAGCTGGCTCGAAAGATGAAGAGGAACACTTTTGACCACAAAATGAAACAGAGGAAACACACCTGCTAAATATATTGGGACAGGAGGGTGAGAGGGGCAGGTGAGAGCTGAAACTCATCAGGGCGGAGCACGCAATCACAAAGGCGGTAGAAAGGTCAAAAGGCAGGAGGTAAAACAAGACCTGACATATAACGAGAGGAAAAAGTAAAACAGGAAACAAACTAAGCCAATGACAATTTACCCATTATCATTATCTTCGAGTTAAATATTTGTTAAATATTGGGAAATGTCTCCCTTTTCATCCAGAACTACATTGAGACAATACTTAAATGTATTCTATTATTTTAAATGGACAGACAAAAGGTAAATCAAGAAATCTGATATTGTACTTTAAAAGTAATATTGCATATCGTCACCTTCTTAAACTAATGGCCTAAGTCATATTTTGGAGAAAATTGTTTTTTTTGCCTAAATCATCTCTTCTTGATGCTGGCCACCTCTGGTAAAATTGCCTAAATCCTTATTGAAAAGAAAGTGCTTTTCCTACCCTGATAGTATAATGGCCTATGTCAAGAGTGTGACTTAGGCAATATATTTTTAAAAGATAATTGCTTAAGTCACATTGTCTTGTGACTTAGGCAATTTGACAAGCTTTACAAAATGTTTGCTTCAAGAAGAAAGAATAACTAACAGATAAATTAAGTTATTTTCATGGTTCAGGGCTTGTCCCCTTTTGGTAAGTGATGTTTACTATTCTATAGGCTAGGCTATAAATGTTGTGTAGTTATTTAGTCTTTTAATTTCACAATTTATAGTTACTGTAGCTACTGTATAGTTACTGTAGCTCCATGAAGCTTGCACACATTTCTCTCTGGGACAATAAAGACTCATCTAAAAACGAATCTAATCTTTCAACACTAACGGTTACAATTGCAGCATAATTATAAATAAGCGTTTGTCTGTTTTAATTCTTAATATTGTCCTTTTTCCACATTACATTTCCATCTT